GTTTTATTTTGTCCACATGTCTATAGCGATTAAAATGCAATGTGTTCACCCAGGCGGCCCGGGTACAGCTCCCGGTGTGGGAACCATTGTTAGCTGTCTTACTGTGTGGTGTGGAAGAAGGTGAGAAGAGTGATGATAACAGCAGTGAGGATCATCGGGGCTCCTTTTCCCTCCATTAAAGACATTTCATCCCAGTGCTGCGTGTCCTGAGCCCGTAATATCATAAATTACCACTCATACCCCCACCATGGACTGTTCTCCCTGCTGCCCTGTGGAAAGAGGCTTCATAGCATCTGATGCAGGTCTACAGTAGCAGATTCCAAAACAGCTTCTTCCCCACTGCCATTAGACTGCTGAATGTTGCATAAAATGAGGTTATTAAAAAAACCCAAAGACATATGTTTACATTTTCACTGCTGCTTACATTTTGTCACTGCTGCACTTTAGAAAATGAAAATGTCTTGAGAGCTTTACTGAACGTAATTTCTTTTTGTATACACTCTGTGTAAAAAATTACAATAAAGTCTGTCTAAGTCTAAGAAATAGTTGCATATGTTACTGTATGTTTCACTTATCTATAAACCAAAAAAAAAATAATGAATTGAATAAACAAACATGGAACATTTGTTTTTCCCCTATGTGCTTCCTCACTGTAATTGTAATAATTGGATGTAATTGCGTGTAAAATGAATGATAATTAGGATAATAGGTTGCACACCTGCTGTTCAGCACCTTATACCCTCTGCAAACTGAGTTTGTTTTCACTTAGTGTTTTTTTTTATGTATCTTTTTCACCAGAAACATACAGTTACATTTCTATTGAACTTAATTTAAGGTACACTTTAGAAACCACATTCAGATACATTACAAATCGTACAAATAAAAAAAAATAAAAAAATCTTATCATCAAAATGAAAATCCATTGATTTGGTTTTCTTTGAAGGACCTCAAATAAAACTGGAAAAGCTGATGTTAAAGAGAAAGCACATATATATGTGTTTGGAAAACATTGTTTACAATGTTTATTTCTCCAAGTCTGTCTTGCAGTGCGTAATAGATGCCAAGTCTATCTAAATGCACACGCTTGTCTTTAAACAGATGGCTAACTAAAATTGTATCAGTGACAGATGCCAAAAAAAGGAGGGCATTAAGAGTATTTCCTACGTACTTAGCTGTAACAGCAAAGAATGCAAAGCAGATGGCAAGAACTGACAACATCTTTATGTCTATCTATAATGGAACTGTATCAGCAAAGGGGGCAAAAGTATTTTAATTTTTAAATTTTGCTTGGTCAACTTCTGTCATATTGAGTATTTGTAATGAAGAAAGCTTAAATAAGATGCCTTTTGTAGCCTGAACATCAAGCGTTAACTACACAGTAGCTACATACTTCTTAGCACCCGTGATGTAGACGTGAAAAGCCTTAAAACTGATTAATACTTTAATCTAATCTTCTCTATTAAGTTAGATAATAAACTACTATTAGGAATGGGTTGTTGATTACATACTATCTGTGCCATGGTTACTGGTTATTAAGAAAATTTTCTATAAACACTTTAACCTAGGTATTCATGCAAATTGAGCTTTAATGTTTCAATTTATTTTTAAATTATTTTGAAAATTATACTTATGATGGGAAAGCCTGTCTTCATCTTGAAAAAAAAGGCTATTATAATAAATAACTACTCTAACCTGGCCATATATAGAATCAGAACACAATATGCAAATTTTAAAACAACTAGAACTTTGAATAAAAAGTCATTACAAGGATTCATAATTAACAATTGTGGTGAGCAGTGCATTTTAAACTTAAAAATATACTGATATAAGTCATGTTATATATCTATCTCTAGATTGCTGTGAAGTTCAACATTAAAATATAAATGAAGGAATATAAAAATTTTACCATAAGGAACTGTTTATCATAATGCAGCTACACTATAGAGAGGATATTAAGATTGCTGAAATAAAAAACATGTTTTAAGAGGAGTTTTTTTTTTAAATCAAATATTACGGTTAATCTCTTTTCTTAATTAAGGAGGAGTAATAAAGACAATGTTTGTAGTGTTTGCTGGTTGTGTATTAACATTCTTCTACAAGAAAAATGTTTATTGTTTGTGTGATAACTTACTTTCACCATGCAACCATGACAACAAGGTACTGTTTTGTTTCCATGAGGGCAAATACTTGTTCTTTTTTAAGGATCAATAAATGAGGCTTTGAAGTTGATCTTTATTTCTGTTAAATAAGAATAAGGCTTTTCTGAAGACATCATTTACCAAAGGTTTGTTGCTGTAAAAACACTAAAAACAGCTTATTCAGTTATTAAAGCAACTAAAGTTTGTACTATTGATCAAATATTCCCTAATATAGATTGTGTTGCATATGGAAAAATAGGAACTATTTTGATAATAATGGTAATGACATTTTATGCCTGTTATAGTTAATGTCTTAAAGACAGGTTGGATTTACATATGTGGGCTAGGACTGAAAATTAATTTAGTAGTACTATGGGATATTCTTAATTGCCCCAAAATTTTCTAAGCTACTAGATTTAGCAAATGGCACAAAGTCGGTCGACGAGGCCTGAGCCCTGTTAGATTGTTAGATGCCCCGATGGTCCAAATGCTGATGGCTTGTTCACAGGTGCTACTCGTGACACAAGGACTGATGAAAATCACAGAAAGATTATACTGTTACCATACCAATAAACCACTGAGTGTCTTGCCCATGGATAAAGAAAAGGTACAAAAAGTAAATGTAAAGGTGGAGAAACCTGAAATTCTTATATGAATGAATATGACTCAAACTAAAAAAGAAATTACAACAGTTAAATGGGGATGATTGGACGAAAGATCTCTGTATTTTGTGTTGCATAATGATTTATTCTATCTCACAGAAACTTGACTGTAGCAAGGTGTTAATGTAACTCCCTCCTATGAAATAAAAAGGATATTCTTGTTAAGTGCTTCATTGCTCAACATTGGTAGCTATTTCAATTGTAGTGAGAAAAAAGTATTCAACTATTTACTCCAGTTAAATAAACAAAGATCAATGGATTTCATTCAGTCAGCATGTTATTTATTAATTTTTTTATCTTTACACAAAGGGAACCGTTCATCATAGGTCCTTATTGCACAGTATTCAGCTCTGTTCTGATCTGGACCTGGATCTGGAGTGTGTTCCCCTTACTGTCACGGTGGATGTTTTTGAGGACCCAAATGCAGAGATCAGGAGGCAGAGTTGAATCTTGTTGATTTAATAACAGAACTGAGGCAAAATCCAAAAATACAACAACCAAAAGATTAGAAAATGTCAGGGAAAGCTCACCTGGGAAGACAGAGATGAGGAAGCAACTAAAAACCAACAATGAACCAGCACTGAGTGACTGCAGAGGTGGTCTATATAAGGGGAACAGAACAAAGGACGGGCTAATGAGCTGAATATGGAGCAGGTGTGAGTGGAACTAACTAGAAGGAAGCCCAGGGGAAAGGAAACAAGCACAAGGGGCAAACAGAGAGTAACTAAAGACTGCTTGAATATAATGGAAAATAAACCAAAGATCAACAAAACAGAACATCAAATACCGTAACTGAAAAAACTAAAAACTCAGACTCCCAAAAGGGGAGAACCATAACACTTACTTACAATGATGGAAAGTAGTCAGAGTCAAAACAAATTACAGCCCCTTCGGTTAAACAGTAGCATGAATAAACCTTGAGAGAGAATCTGGCTTATTATGGGGAGAAGGTATGTCTGGTCAACAAACATCCTCATGCAGGGGAACTGTGTGGTCTTGCAGGTGAAACAGGCTGAGTGAAACCCTTTATAGCGAGTAAATAGCATAAATCAATATATGAAATAAGAGGAATTAAAATTTTCAGAGCACAGTTGGCACAGAGAAGCCCATCGATTGATATTTGCGACACAGCATAGAGGCAAGATGGAAAGAAATCTAATAAGCACAACCCAGTGAGATTCCACTACAAGTAGTGATTGGTAATGTTGCCCACAAAAATCCTACTAGATTAAGTAATCCGTGGACCTATGCTACAATTAACGTTTGATTTAAAATGGTTTGGAAAGCAAGGAGTCATGTTGGTTAATAACCTGATTTGCCTATGGCCAAAGATTTAAATCCAAGGTTATAAATGATGTAAAAAGTTGGTAAAATTGGTAATTTGTGACAATCTACGGTATGATAAAAAAGGGAATACCTGAGATTTTGGAGATCTTAACAATAATCGTCAGCTCAAAACTATTTAAATCTTTAGATTTCTTCAAGTTAGACTCTACTTGTCATATTATGATATGTTATGAGACTTGAGCAGTATAATGACAAGTGTTGGGGATCTTGGAGAGAGTTTGTAAAACCATTCAGGAAAGATTTAAATCAATTGGTCGAATTAACCTAATGTTGGATTTTGCACCACTCTGCATGTGTTTGCTAAAAATCTGACTGTCTTGGACTAGCAACCAAGGAGCAAACTAATGAACAGCCTAAGTGTTTTTTTTTCTTTTAAGTTGTCTGTTCTCTAGTTCCTATATAGAGTGGAAAAATAGGAACTGGACATGTTTTTTTTTTATTGACAGAGGTCTAATTGAAATATTGGCTTTCCTGATAAAACTTAAATGACAAAAAACTCAATTCAGGGTTTTGAGAAAAAAAAAACTAAATCTTCAAAGGAATAAACTGACACCATCATGAGCTGGAAAGCAGTATTGCTCTTACACAAACTAAAATACTTTTGTTTTTTTGTTTTTGTGGGTGTAATCATATTGAGGTAACTATTAAATATTTCCAACATTTAGTATTTTACTCTGTTATTATTTTTGCAACTTCTCTCATTCACATTATTGTCAGTCAGTGGCATCACTGCTCTGCCTTTACCTTTGAGAGCGATAATTTGATAGAGCGTCATCATGTTGCCATGGCTAAACTTAGAGCTGTAGTGATAAGTATTAGAGCATCATCTCTACCACACTGAGTGGGGGGGATGTTTAATGGTAGTGGTTGAAAGCACTGTTTGATGACCTTTTTTTCTCTGTTCAGTTCATAAGACTAATTTAAACTTTTTATATTGTAAAAATATTTATTTTTCTGGACCAGTACATACTTTTTCAGATTATTATTTTCAAGGGTATTTAATGCTTAAACGTTTACATTTGAAGAATCTAGATCAGCACTATCAATGTACTTTCTATCCTATTTCGTGTGGACCAGCTCGGCGCCTTTCTTGCTTATTATGTGGCTTGTGGGCCAACAGCTAGGTCTACGGATGGGTATACAGATTGCCGAGTCACTGAACTGTTCTCGATGGGGAGCACCAAGCAATAGAGGGTTGTTTGAGGATGGCGATGTAATCATTGGTGGGCTTTTTAGTCTTCGTTACATGCCTCCTGCTAAGGACTATAGATTCACACGGCAGCCTGACAACAAACCTTGCACAGGGTAAGAACGCTATTTTGATTTGTTGACAGTTTATTATTATTTAATTATAGTTTATTATTATTATATTTAATGTGTCCTGTTTTTTCTGTAAACAGAGCCTTGTAAAAGTATTTTAATGCAACAAAATTTTAAAATGTATTAACTCCATCAACTAGATTTCACTGTACAACAGAAGATGTGCATAATTGTAAAGGGAAATGAAAAGTTTTACAATAACTTTCAAATAAGTATCTAAAAAATGTAATGTACAACCATTTCAAGCCTTACTTGTACAGCCTATAGACCCTGATACATGCAGAAATCACTTTTCACTATAATAAAAGCTGCAAGAGTTTTGTGTGATGTCTCTACAAATCTTTGCACGTCCACTGACATATTCTACTTTTTAAAATAGCTCCAGCTCAGGCAGATCGGAGTGAGAGTTGTGTAAGCATAAAACATCTGGTTTAGCTAAAGATTCAATTTGGGTCAAGGCCATTCTGTAACATGAACTTGCATTGGTTTAAGGAACCCAGTTTCAGCTTTAGCTGTATGTTTAGAGTATTTGTCTGGGTAAACCTCTACGGCAGTGTCAGTTTTTGTCAGTCACTGATAGGTTTTTTTTCAATGTTTGCACTGTACTTTGCTCCAATCATTTTCATATCCACTCTGGCAATCTTTCTGTAACTGCTTACAAAAAGCATGTGCACACTATGAGGCTGTTGCAGCATGTTTCATGATGAAGATGGTGTATTCGAGATAGTAGGCCTATATGTATTGCTTTTGCAGTGTCCACTATATTACTTATGTCAGATTTATAAAAAGGAAAAAAGTTCCAGGGCAATTAATGAATTTGGAAGCCACTGTATGCACCATTATTTGAAGTTTTCCACTATGATAATCTTTTTTTATATTTTAAATACCTTTTATTTTATATCTCCTCTGCCTCTAGTTTACAAAACCTACCATTACAGTACATTTATGCCATGGTGTTTGCTCTGGAAGAGATCAACCACAGCTCCACTCTCCTACCAAGCGTTAAGCTAGGATACCATATTCATGACAGCTGTGCCCTCCCTGACTGGGCTCTACAGGCTGCCCTAACATTGGTTGGTGGAGACACCGTGAGCTGTAAATCAAATCCTCCATATCAGAAGGAAACAGGAATTGGAACAGGCAAAGTTGACTGATTAATCTGGAATTTCTATACTTTTTTTTATCCTTAACTATGTTTGGTCAAAAATTATATGATATTTTAATGAAAAATGTACATATGGTGTATCTTGTAATGTTATCAGGTGATCAGCCAGTGCCTTTGATCATTGGTGGTTCTTCTTCTATAACAGCCCAGATACTGTCCAGACTCCTAGGACCACTTTCTGTTCCTCTAGTAAGTTCATTGGAATTTACCTTTTATACTTTTATCACAATGCATCTACTTGTGTTTTATTTTTTTGTAGATATACAAAATTTATTAATTTGTTATATATATTATATTAATTTTATTTATGTGTGTGTGTTTGGCCTTAAGGTGAGCTACACAGCCAGTTCCCCAAGTTTAAGTGACAGACAGCAATACCCAAATTTCTTCCGAACCATGGCCAGTGATATATATCAAGCACGTGCTATTGCTCAGCTCGCTATAAAATTCAACTGGACCTGGGTTGGAGCAGTTGTAGCAAACAATGATTATGGACTGATGGCTGTGAAGGTTGGTCCTTTAATTCTATTTTTGGTAGAAAATCATAATATTTTAATATCTTGTTTTATAATACTAGGCAAAAGTTGGGTAATAAAACAGATGTAGCAAAGGACAGTTTGGAATTAAATATTTGTAAGGTTTTATCGATTTCTCAGTAATTGATGCTTTGCATATCTTTTGCAAAGGGTCAATGACATTATTGTTCAAAAATGACTACAGCAATTGCTAATGACTTTTCTTTTACATCCAGCAACCCTTATTGGTTCTTCTCAAATATATATATATATATATATATATATATATATATATATATATATATATATATATATATATATATATATATATATTTATATTCTGCATATCAGGTATTTCAGGAGGCAATTCAGGGGGCAGGGATTTGTCTGTCATTTGTGGAGACCCTCCAAAGGGAAAATATTGTAAGTGACGCAAGACGGGCAGCACTTGCCATTCAGGCTTCAACTGTGAAGGTGATTTTGATCTTCACCTGGTATACTGATGTGATGGAACTGTTCCTGCAACTAGAGAAGTTGAATGTAAGGAGAAAAAAAAGAAGCTAATGGAAGCCACTGAAATTGCATTATTTTAAAAAGAGAACAGTATTTTGTTTTAAATGTGTTTTTTTGTTATTTCCAGGTGACTGATAGACAATTTTTGGCAAGTGAGGCGTGGAGCACCAGTAGTGATCTTCGCAAAAGTACTTTTTCACAAAAAGTTGCCAGTGGTGTTCTTGGTGTGGCCATTCGAAGTTCACCTCTGCCTGGATTTGAAAATTACATTCGTAATTTAAACCCATTGCTGCGCCCAAATGATCAGTTCTTAAAGGAATTCTGGGAAAAGGAGTTCGGATGCAGTCCTGGGAGTACAACAGCTGCGCTTGATTCTCTTCCCCGTTGTAACGGCACAGAGAACCTGTGGACTGTGAATAATCTCTTCACTGATACCTCCCAGCTACGGGTGACATACAATGTCTATCTTGCAGTCTATGCAGCAGCTAATGCCCTACACTCTCTACTTTCCTGCCCTGATGCTAACATCTCACCTGGACACAATGTCACCTGTTCCTTTACAAATCAAATCAAACCCAGAGAGGTAAATATTTTTTTGCATGTTTCAGACTTCTGGGAAAAGTGTTTCAGATTTTCACCTCATGTCTTAAAGGGCACCTATTATTTCTTTACAGCCTTTTCTTCCTAGTGTGTTGGTCGTGTTTAGTTACATTTATCTTCTGGTTCGAATTTATACGATAAAAAATGTCAAAGTAAAGAGAACTTAATGTGGAGGTAAAAGACAGTTTTACGTGGCAAAATATTAACATAAGCTCCAGCCATGACTTAAGTTATGATAGTGTTAGATCCACCTTGAATTTGAGTCACTCATAAAAATCTATATATTTTTTTTATGTGGAAAGGAGCAGAAAGTAAAAAAAAAAAAAATGTCTGTTTGCAGTAAAAAATAAAGTAGAAATTAAATAAAATTGATGAAATTGAAATAGACCTGCAGCTTACTGAGGGCTTTAACAGCATTTGGAAATAGTCTACACGGCCAGTAATTAACTACAATGATCAGTGCATTTTTTTTTGTCATTTCAAACATTTTGAAAAAAAATAGTATTTTTTTCTGCATTTCTGTATTAGTTTTCACATTGTAACTCTGTTGTCAATTGCAGTCAGCCTTCCCCTCTCAGATTTTTATTTTGAGAACATGTCACCAGAATAGCTAACATTTATACAAGAGAACAATACTTAGTTTGTGCATATTTTAATTTTTTATCCTCCTATTTCACCACATAAGCGCCCTGTTTTATTTGTGGAGTTTGGCTGCACTAAAGTAATTTTACTATCCAAATGTTTTTTTTTTTTTTTTCAGAGATAGGTTTATCCTGTCGCAAAACTTAGTAAGTCTGAAAATATTTTCTCCCAAGTAATTTGGTCCTAAAATAAAAATTTTCCTCGTATGCAACATATAGTATGTGTTGAACAAAAGTTAACTTAAAAGCACTTAAAATTAAGCCCTTAAATTAAAATAAAGTTTTATTTTTCCACTGGAGAGACGCTCACTGCTCAGTAATTTGGCTAACTCTGATTAAGCTTTCCATTTTAGCTTTGGCGTAAACTGAGTTGTCTGGTTACACCTTCAGCTTTTGGTTGTTCCCCTGAGAGCCCAGCCATCCCAGTCAGTGGTTAGTACATTTTTATGATGGAGGGACTGGGTGTGGAGAAATCTTTTCTTCTAATCAATTTACTTCCTATGAGCTCACCCACTTTTATAAGATGATCTTTACAGCAAAATTTTTAAATATTTCCTTTTTTGCTGCTGTAAACACCAGAATTTCCTCATTTTGGGACAATAAAGGGATTTTCTATTCTATTCTTTGTATCACTGCTTCACAGTCACCCACGACATACTCCTACCAGACAGTTTTTGTTGTTAAGAAATTCTGTCTATTCTGTCATTACTATCCATATTGGTGGGATCCAGCAGACTATTTTTGTTTTAGAAAATGGAATGTTAAAATTACTCATCTGAAAACAACAAAGAGAAGAATAACTGTCAAGTTATACTTTGAAAATGTATGGGCTTTCTGGTTCTATGACAGTATATCCCCTTTAAAAGAGGAACACCAACAGTTGCATGCATTTCTTTAAAAACAAAGCCTTTAGATACTTATTTTTCTTCCAACTTGTGATTCTTTCAGCTCATGGAACAGCTCAGAAAAGTGAATTTCACCACCCCACAGGGGGAAGCATTTTATTTTCAAGGTGCTGACATAACAGCAAAGTATGACTTAGTGAACTGGCAGAGTAGCCCTGATGGAGAGGTCGAGCTGGTTTTGATCGGTCGTGTGGATGGCTTTGAACTCTACCTTAATGAATCTGCAATTCAGTGGAGCACAGGGTCCAGTCAAGTAATCTACTTCAAATCGATCAATTCTCATAGATTTTTCTTTTCTTTTTTACCTACACTTAACAATAATGTCTTGTTAAATCCTATTCAGGTGCCTGTTTCCGTCTGTAGTGAAACTTGCCCTTTAGGCACACGGATGGCAAGCAGGAAAGGAGAACCCATCTGCTGTTTTGACTGCATTCCATGTGCTGATGGTGAGATAAGCAACAAAACTGGTGAGGAAGGATTCTTAAGAGAAAACCCATTTCAGCCTTTCTGTCACATTTTAATTGATAGGCTTTTCTGTTTGTACATTCTTTGTCCAGGTTCCACTCAGTGTGACCGATGTCCATCTGAGTTCTGGTCCAACACTGAGCATAGTGCCTGCATCCCTCGCAGGCTGGACTTTCTCTCTTATAATGAAACTTTGGGTATCACACTCACAGCAGTAGCTGTTTCTGGTGTGGCGGTGACAGTGGCAGTGTTTGCTGTGTTCCTTTTCTACCGTCGGACACCGATGGTAAAAGGACAGATGAAGGCCAAAACACTTATAAAAAATGTGTCAAAAAAGCTTAACAATATACATGCATTCTTGCTTCTTCCCACTTTAAGGTGCGAGCAAACAACTCAGAACTCAGCTTCGTGCTTCTGCTGTCATTGAAGCTCTGCTTTTTGTGCTCGCTGGTGTTCATCGGCCGCCCCTCTGTGTGGTCATGTCGGTTCCAGCAGGCAGCCTTTGGGATCAGCTTTGTCCTTTGTGTTTCTTGCCTACAAGTTAAGACAATTGTGGTTCTGGCAGCATTCCGCTCAGCGCGTCCTGGTGTTGAAGCCCTTATGAAGTGGTTTGGTCCCAGACAGCAGAGAGGAACTGTCTGCTTCTTCACATCCATACAGGTATAGGTATATTTTACTTTTCATAATGTTTGTGTACAATTCCCAATAATAAATCTAACTTTTTTGTTGCGACTTCATGAGCCAAGCAACGACATTTTACATATATTGTAGCATAAACTCTGCTTTAACAAAAAACAGCTATAACAGCAGGATACATTGTTGGATACGTCAAAACTAATTCCGTTTATCTAAATATTAACTTGAAGGCATCTTTTTTTTATATTTCCACTTTGGATCTTTTGGAAGGCTAAAAATCTTAAAGAAATTGAACAATGTGTACACTTCTATGAGCCACTCGATAATAACATTATAAACATGACTGGTGCAACACTTTATTTTCTTATTCCTAGGTTATCATCTGTATTGTTTGGCTGTCTCTTAGTCCCCCAGAGCCTAAGCCTGACTTCGAGGTCGCTGGTTTACAGGTTACCTTGAAGTGTGCAATGGCCTCATTGGTTGGTTTCTCTCTGGTTCTGGGCTATATTGGCCTCCTGGGCTGCACCAGCCTCCTTTTGGCCTTTCTTGCCAGGAAGCTCCCAGACAACTTCAATGAGGCCAAGCTGATCACCTTCAGCATGCTGATTTTCTGTGCCGTCTGGGTGGCTTTTGTTCCTGCTTATGTAAGTTCACCTGGAAAATATGCAGTTGCTGTGGAAATTTTTGCCATTCTGGCCTCAAGTTATGGTTTACTCTTCTGCATATTTGCTCCAAAATGTTTCATCATTCTTTTGAGACCAGAAAAAAACACTAAGAAACATCTTATGGCAAGATAGTAATAGCATTCATGCCATCTGTCTTATAAGATTTATACATTCTATTGTTCTATGTTATGTTTTTTAGACACACATTGTTTCAATGTCTGCAGAATTATCACGATTCACTGTTTATATTAGGAAGAGTTGGATTATTAAAAAGCAACTTAAGTAATGAAAAAAACCCTACAAATTCTGATTTTCATAATAATGTGCTTTGATTCATTTGATTTAAATGCAACTTCTTTCAGATTAACATTTTTCTTAATTTTGGGTTAATTTTTGGTTTACTGCTCAGAGCTAATGAGAACAAGGCATGTCCTATTGATTGATTTTATGTAGAGGTAAATACACATTGTGTTTCATTATTTTATCAAAATAAACTTGAATTTTTAGTATGCATATAGTTGTATGTCTTTTTTATGTAAACTAAATGGGATACAGAATATCTACCCACTTGCCTATTTACTGCCAATACCTAGATTGATCTGTGATGGTTTTTCCATAGGTGAACCCGATATTCAGCCAGACACAGAGTTAAGTTTATTGAAGAAGTAGGCAAAACAGTTACTGACTTGGCAGAGGAATTCTGCTTGATTGTGCTGGTTTGCAGGTGTGAGCAGAGAACCAGGAAATGTAGATGTTGACAGATTCAAAAGGCAGTGTGGAGAACCACCACAACAGACAGAAACGGGTAACACTGGAGCAACCTCAGCTAGAAGAGTTCAGCTCACAGAGAACATAGGATGCAGTAGTGAAGGAAACAGGCATAAGTGCGGCATACCGATACAGGCAGCCTTAGCAGGAGAGAGTGAGATGTTCTGACAGAGATTAGTAGACAGAGGCAGGTATATGTAGGCTGTGAACAGGTGAGTTGAGTACTAATTAGTGGGAACAGGTGGAGATAATCTAGAGTGGGGATGGTGGCTGGAGGCAGACTGAGCTGTTGTGATAACTGCTGGTGGCTGAATAGTGACAAGTCCAAAACCAAACTAAACAGAACCATAACTATGGTACTTATCTACATTTTCCTTTTAAACTAATGGTAAGTTTAACCATTGTAAAGAGTTGGGGTTAGATGTATGTGAAGGTTAAGGAAAGCTCTGTGAGAGGAAAAAGATCACTAAGGACAAACTCTTTAAATAACACTTCATAATATATATGTATTAAATGACCATGAGACGTGAAAACAGACATTGATAGAAATTGTAATCTTACCTAGATCATTAAAGTTGCTTAGGGTTACAGAAGGTAGCTGCTTAACAACCGGTCTCACACCTTGTGAAATGGCCACGATTCACAGTTAGAGAAGCATTTAATACAACTCCAGTATGCCACATTATCATCATACACGTTTGCAGATGAGGAGACATCCATGGCTCCAGTCTTATCAAAATATTACATTTTGTTCTTAGACCAAGATCATCGCTCTCATTCCATCCCCAAGTCTTTGCCATAATGAAGAAGATAACTGTATATCCGAACAGAGGAACTGTCCTAATTAGATGAACTTCTTGGGAAAACATTAGTTCTGACACGCAACAGGCAGATAATATTAGAGAGTAATAAACTTACACATCATCAATGATAATTATCCTAACATAATGATCAACACTAACAAGAACTTGAAGGGTACACACATCATCACATAATTTAAATCCACTGCTGCCATCTGCTGGCCATATGTAAAAAAGTACTACTTCAGCATCCAAAAGCTTAGGTTTATTCTTTTGTAACACTGAAAAACTGAAAAAGCCAGACTATAATGCTTTGTTTGTTGTCTATCTTACATTCTTTTAATATCAATGTACAAAAAATCCTGACTTTTAACTGGTGTTTAACCATACATTCATCTTTTACAGTCTTATTGCAGTTATTGCTTCAATTGGAATTGTCTTTTTCTTAATCAAGTGTAAATCACTACAAAGTGTATCTGAGGACTTAAAACTGTAATAGAAACTACAACAGCGAAGAGGTGTGCAGACGCAACATTTATTAATAGAAAGGGCTTCATGAACAACGTGAAGTAGTTAACAAAAAAAAATCAAACAAACAAAAAAGAAAACTACAGCTGTTGTTTTGGATGGTCTCACATACACTATATTTATGTGTCGTTGTCTTCCTTACATTAATAATAAGTTTTTATTGCAGTCAGAATATTCATTTAAATTAGTGAAACAAAGTCATACATTGCCTCCTAATAAGTATCCCTACCCTTGGAACAAATTAGTGTTTTTAAAGTGACAACTGCAAACATCTTGTACTGACATTGTTTATAATGTACAAAGCAATACAATAATCATAAAGTACAAGGAAATTATATTAAAAAAAAAAAATATATAAAAAGAACCAACAAGAAAGATGCTTTTTTTTGTATACTGCAACAAGTTAAAAAGAGAGCAAATAACTTATGTCTTCACCATCTCAAGATTCCTGATTGCTTCTGTCATGGTTTTGGTTTTGTCCAAGTTTTATTTCGAGTTTTTATTGGTCTTATTTCGATTCTTGTGTTCTAGGTATTTTTGATTGTATTTGAGTTCTTAGATATTTCTAAGGTGTGAACAGAAGCAAGAAGGGAGCTATAGGGAAAAGGAGACTGACACAAAAGCGCAAACAGGAAATATCTAAGAACTCAAATACAATCAAAAATACCTAGAACACAAGAATCAAAATAAGACCAATGAAAACTCAAAATAAAACTTGGAAAAAACCAAAACCATGACAGCTTCTCTAATTTAATTCACATCTCAATGTGTTTTGTGCGATGTTCACAGCATGAGGTAATTATTATTATCTAATTCTGCCCAATAGCACTAAGGATGTTTAATTCTAACTGCTGGGTTGAGATCCTTCAACCTCGGTTGTGCAGGTGGTGCAGTGGTTAGCACACACCACTCATGTACAGAGGCCTTAGTGCTCATCGAATCCGACCTGTGGTCCTTTCCCACATGTCTCTCCTTCTTTCTCATACCCCCTTTCCTGTCAGCCTACTGTCGAAAAAAATCAGCCACTAGTGTTGTAAAAAACCCCAAAACATATTCCTGACAGAGATCCTTCTACCTTCTAGGCTCTCAAAGAACAGCATGAGCTGTTCCTTTTCTCTTCAAAGAACAGCACGAGCTCACTCAATTCATCAACAATTTGTTTAGTTGGCACTGAGAGACAAGACGGGAGTCACAGCCTAAATATCATGTCCAATTTACAGTTTAGCACATGCACACATGTGAAACAGAATGTCCTTGTGAGACCAGACAAAACATTTTTATTATTGATTTGAAGATGATTGGAGCTAAATACAAGGCAATGTTGGGAGAAAACCTTTTAGAGAAGAAGCACTATGACTGGGGTGGGGGTTTAGGCTTTAGCAGTAGAATAACCATAAATGTTTAGCCAGATAAAAATGTAATGCTTATATCAAAGCATATTTCTACGTTATAACACATCTGTTTTTATGGTGTCACATAAAATAAAGTTAAAGTACAGCTAAGTCTATTTATAACGTAACAAACTGGGAAAGAAAATTCAAGAGATATTCATATAAGCCACTATTTTATCTCTCCATTTCTCTTCCCATGATGGCCTTCTTTGTATTTCTCTCTGGCCTCAGCAATATTATATAACATTTGGGCCCAAAAAGGGCCAGCAAAAGACCAAAACTGGAGGCCAGGATAGCAAAGACCTCTACTGCATCTGCATATTTGCCGGGCGAGCTGACATAAGCAGGAACAAAGGCCACCCACACAGCACAGAAGATCAGCATGCTGAAAGTGATGAGTTTGGCCTCATTAAAGTTGTCAGGTAGATTCCTCGCCAAAAATGCTAACACAAAGCTAAGAAAAGCCAGTATCCCAATGTATCCCAGTAACACTGAAAAACCAACAGTGGAACCAACCACACATTCATAAACTATTTTGTCATTGTGGTATTTGGTGTTTTTATGTGGAGAAGGGGAAGAAGAGACAAGCCAAGCAGTGCAGATTGCTGCCTGAACAGAGGTCAGAACAAAAACTGTTCCTCTCTGCTGGGAAACACCAAACCACTTGAGACTGGCTCCACCTCCTGGTTTGGAGGCTTTAAAAACAGCCAGAACCACCATGGTTTTAACCAGGATGCAAGAGACACAAAGTACAAAGCTGATCCCAAATGCTGCATGTCTCAGCTGACATGTCCACAATCTAGGTCGTCCAATAAACAGCAGGGAACAGAGGAAGCATAACTTGAGAGAAAGCAACAGGTTGAAACTGAGTTCTGAATTGTTGGCCCGTACTATAGGTGTTCCGCGATGGTAGAAGAAGATCCCTAGAACAACAGCACAGATAAATGTGCCCAGCAATGAGGCTGCTGTCAAACAGATCCCTAAAGGTTCCTGGTAGGAGAGGAACTCTGTTTTCTTAGGTATGCAGTGATCTCGCTGGGGGCTGGACCAGAAATCCTCTGGACAGCTGAAACACTCCAGTGAATCTGACAACAATGCAGAAGCAAAGTCAACTGATGCATTTGTAGGAGTAGTTAATTAATTATAAAAAGAAAGATACAAAAATCCAAAAACTCACTTGTGTCATTACTGATCTTTCCATCAGAGCAGGGGATGCAGTCAAAACAACATCGAGGTTCTCCTTTCTTTCTCACCAAACGCGTACCTGGAAGACATTTGTTGCTGCACACTGACCGAGGTGGCTATAGGGGAAACATAAGAACATGGTTCTCTTGAAAGTGGCTTCACAAGCTATAACGGAGAAAAGGAAAGAAATTACCTTTTTGGATTTGAAGTTCCAGAAAATGTTGTCTTCATCAAGTGTGAGTTGTTCACCAGAGAAAGATAACTTTTTAACCTCGCCAACATTTTGCACTTTTGTTTGTCCATTAGGGAGCCATAGCCAGTTCATGACATCATATATTGGTAGAGCATCACCATTCTCATCAAATGAAACTGGATCACCAAATGATGTGGTGAAATTAACCCTTTCCAAATAATACACGAGCTAATGGAAGAGAAATAGGAAAAAGGCAGAGCACAGATGAAATAACTCAGTCATGTTATCCAGTTATATAAAAATTTAAGTTTAATTATGACCAAGCTTTTAAAGATAATCAATAACCTGAATGTTGTTTAAAAGGTAATTATTTCAGGTGTGGCGCTGGAAACTTTACATATAACAGGACTAAATTATGGTCTAAAGTATTTTCAAGCCTTTAAAGATACTTTCAAGTATTAATACCTCTTAAAGAGGCATGTAACATACTTTGACTTTACAAATGTCTATGTTAATATTTTATTCTGGTTGTAAACGAAGGCTTTCCAGTTAAATGATGGCTTAGCATACACATCATTTCTGTTTAACACATGTTTTTTTAGTCCATTTGTTAATACACATCAGTGTTTTGGTTTTCAATATGATTATGTAACCTTAGTAACGATCTGGGGTATACTTTAAAATGACTAAACAGGGAAGTCATTTCCCCAGCATAGGTGTGGAAATAAAGCAAAAAAGATTGGAAGAAGCAGCAAAAGTTATCAGATGCCGAAAGAGATGGGACAGAAGTAATGCTTGGAGTACGAAATGAAAGTGTTGGGATCTGGAGGCTTTGTCCACTTTCTCCACCAGAGAGCGCACAAGATCTCCTGGGGGCATGGGCTGACTGCAACACCTGTCTTCCATCTACTCATCAGAAGGCCCTATTTAAGGAGGAGGAGGCTAACACTTCCCTGCCAGAGTGTTTGCCAGTAATGGCAGAGCAAGACCTGAGCCAAAATACCAGATCTGAATCTCTGACTCTTTGTGAACCTGCCTGACCAGTTTCTCTCTGCCTCACAGATTGTGTCCCGTCAGAAGACCTGAAATCCTGGAGAGTGATCTCTGTCTGGAATCTGCCTGCCTGCACTCAGTTAAGCCTCTGCCTTTGCCCTCACCCCTCTGCCTGCCGACTAGCCTCTGGACCCTCAAGGTTCCCCCCCTGCTGCTCCGCTCCACATTTGAGCAGGTAATTACTCCAACATCAGAAAACCTGCAGTTAACCTGGATCAGCTCTAACCTCTCTGTCCTCCTCAGTGGTGTTCCCCTCGTGACCTGTCTGCCGAGCCAAGAACCAGTTCATATTCATTGTATATTTGTAAATACACCTTTGAACTTTTCCCCTGTCTCACGAGTGTTTCTGCATGTGGATTAGACGCCTTGAACCCAACATGACAGAACACTCTGGCCAACAAACTAGCCCCGCGGAAGCACTCAAGAGGATTTTGGAACAACAGCAAGTCCTCATTCAGAGCCATGACTCCGCCCTCCGTAAGCTAAACTATCGCCAAGCTGAAACCAACCACACCCTGCATGAAATAACTCACTATCTCCAAGGACCCAGCTCTCAGAGCGCTACACCTGCGGTTGAGGCCGTTCAGCTTCCGGTTCAGGATCCCAATCCACCTCTCAGGTCAGAAAACCTGCAATTAACCTGGATCAACACTAACCTCTCTGTCCTCCTCAGTGGTGTTTCCCTCGTGACCTGTCTGCCGAGCCAAGAACAAGTTCATATTCATTGTATTTTTATAAATAAACCTTTGAACTTTTTCCCTGTCTCACGAGTGTTTCTGCATGTGGGTTAGATGCCTAGAACCCAACATGACAGAAAGTTGGAGTCTGCTGAAGTAGAACCTAAACCTGCCTGAGCTACCAAGCTGATGAACGTGTGAGTTGGTACTAAAAGCAGATGGCGATAGGGAACAGTACTTGCCAAAATTACTTTCAGCTGAAAAGAACAGTATCAGGATGAATGCTGTGCGTATATAACTTCATAATAACATAATCATATGATATTTGGTGTTCTTTTTATAGACATAGGATATGACTGGGCCCCGTAAAGATGTTTGACTTTTTATCACATTTCATAAAAAAAAATTAATTGTATTTTATCAGGACTCTTAGAATTGAATTAACACAAAATATTATATATATGTGGACTGAAATTAAATGAATTTGAACAAAAATCTTAAATATGTAACATTTGCTCAATTAAGTTAAAGTTACTCTGAGGCCCTGAAATCCAGTCTACTGACAATGATTAGTTATGCATTTTACAAAAGAAAAAAAATGAAACTGGAAGACTTTCAAAATAAAAGTCATAGTAAAGAGAGTGCTAAACGTGTTTGCAGCTTTCCATAAGCCCCACACTTCATACTGTACAAAAAAAACAATGGAGAAGTTAATCATGTCAGATGAAACCAAAAAAGTCAACATATCATCCTGATAATAACATCACAACCGTGAAACTGTAAGCTATTTGAAGATGAATACAGCGGAAAAAAAAGATATATATATTTGTGGCCACATTAAACTTGACCCTGTATAATAGCCAAAATATACAACCTGATATTAATATACTATAAACTGATCTACAACTTCACAACCTGCCATAACAGCTTTGAAGTGGTTCTACAAGGTATTACCTGTAAGCAATGTGGGGTGGAGTAGATTGTATAAATTTTTTAAACTATTTAATAGTTATGTGCCACTATATGTTTTTATATTACAGTACATACAACTGGAATGCAAGAGGCTAAGGTTTGGGGTCCTATCAACACAACATTTATTCATGTTTTATAAATCCCAAAATTAAAGGGTCTTTTCTTTTGTAGAATTCTTTTGAAGAATTTCAATCAAAATGTAGAACGTTTTTTTTTTTTCCTACCTGCCATGGTTCAAGTGTTTGCAAAGTAGCACAGCTGTTATTATTAAAAGGGCCTTTCCCTGGTTCACACTGGAACATTTCATCAAGGGCAAATGCCAGGGCATACACAGCTTTGTAAACATTGTACTCAGACCTGAGATCAGAAACATCTAAGAGCTCAGTCCCAACAGCCTCCAAATCCTCATCTCCAGAGCAAACCTTTCCCCCACTTTCAACCCAATCGGATGGGGTTGGTGCAAATCTGCACTTAAATGTAAATTCCCAAAACTGATTTATCTGGAATATACAAAAGATGTATTTTACACAATATTCTATCAGGTTATACTCGCCACATTTAATAAAAGAAATATCACCATGCTGTTTTCATAGCTGTTGTTGTGTTGTAGATCTGCATGTGTTTGTAGCAGGAAATCCCTGAGGCCCGGTATCTCTCCTTGACGGATAGCGATGCCCAATGTGCCACCAAGGTAGGGCATGAGGTGAGGGGTCTGAAGCACAGCAGCTGTAGACCAAGCTTCACTCGCCAACCACTGAAGGCCTGTTAGGTTCTGTCTCACAACCTATTCATGTACCAAAATATGTTCTGTTATTTTACACAGAATAGAGCAATTATAATGGACTATGTCAAACAATTTCAATTAAATTATTTTAAAACAAAGAGTCTCCAATAAATACTACTTAATGAGGGTAAAAAAACATCTTTTTGACACCACAATTGAAGTGTTTGCAGTAATACAGTATAATAATAATAAAAAATATGTCTAATCCATTGTGGAATAAAAGGATTTCAGGACAAACCTCCTCCATGAGATTAATGATCTGACTCTCATGTGCAAACACAATAACAACACGGGCTGTGGATTTCTTCATCACACCCACAATCCTCTGAAATTCAGTCAAATCCTTTTCCCAGGGCAAAATCTCTAAATAGGCAAGACAGCCTTCCCCTGATGCACCAAGATCAGAATAGAAGGATTGGGCAGCATGGAGCCCGTAATCATCATCACTTATCAGCAAACCCACCCAAGTCCAGCCAAAGTATTTCATTATCTGAATCATAGCATGCACCTGAGTGAATAGAAGCATTATTCATTAAGTTAACATTAAATTTCTTAGATTTGTTCTACAGCAATTCATGTTTAGTTTGCAGTCAGGACAACTTTTTTTATAACACCAAGATGTTTATGTCTGATCAGAAATAATTAAGACATCTTCCAATGACAATTAGATAAAATATTTAGCTTAAATAACAAATGGCATGTGGAATATTATTTACACTCTGTGTGGAAAGAATTGACAAATTGGGCAAAATGAAAAAGAGCAGGACTTTGGATGTCTCCAATTTAAGCCTGTTTTGCGATTATAGTCTTGTCACTGAACTTTGTCCAAAGAGCATTCAAATGCTAATCACTTAGTTTACACCATTTAAACTTGGGAAATAGCTCCATGTACTGTATATAAATCTGGTAGGCATATTTTCCATCAAACCTTTCCTTAGTTTTCTCTGCAGATTCTCTATTGGATTCTTAAAATTATTAATATTACTTTTAGTCAGAAAATATAGTTTGGAAAAAAAGAGTGCTTTTAATATAAAGATGCCAGGAGTGTAGATCCTTTTAGTTTCAATAAGTTTCATTTTAAAGTTAATACCCAGGTTGGTCAAATGAACAAACGTTTCTCTTTTGCAAATTATACCTGGAAAGCATCACTTGGAATTGTCCTAAAGAAAGATGGAAACTTCTGCCTGTCACTGAGACAGGCACATGTGGCAAAATAGCTTACCTGTGAATAACGAAAAGTAAATATTGAGTGCAAAAACACACTGTTTCAGTTATTCCATTTTACAAACAATCTGATCTCTTAGATGGTGAAGCTGAAGACTTACCATAGGCACTTTATACAAACCTAAGACAGTGGAGATAGCGATGGAACGTGTCGACGAAGAGTCTCCTACAACCCCCAGAACTGGAGGGCTTCCTTCACAGTTTTTATCCAAAATAATTTGCTCCTCCTGACCATTGATCAGTGCCAGTGCTGCGCGAAATCCAACTCCAAGAGTGAGGCAGTTGTCATACAGACTGTACCCTAAAGTCACATTGGGTAACAGCTGGGAGTTTCTGTTGATCTCATCAATTGCAAAAGCCATGGTCTTAGCCTGTCTAAATCCTAAAACATCAAAACTAACACAAAAATGCAAATGATGAATGCTGAAAATAGATTGTAAATGTAGATATAGAAAAGATTTGACAGAAAAATAAAATAAAGATTAATTGTTACAAAGTTACATACTTATCAAATACAATGATTTAAAGGATATAGACAAAATATTTTTTACACAGTACAAGCATATTATCAAATGCACAGCTCAATCTTTCAATAGCTAAGATTTTTCAGTTTCCTTTTTAAATTCTGTTCTTGTCATACTTACCTGTGGCATGTAAGCTGTTGTGGTTCAGCAGTAAAGGACATGTCAGGAAAGACAGAAAAAAAGTGGACCTGAAAAAGGCCCCCAAGCATGACATCCCCTGCCTTGTGCATTCCATTTAGGTGAAATTGTCCCTGTAACAGACAGGGGAACAAAGAGGGGAGCACAGAAGAGTCATATATGCATAACAATAGGATAAAGAGTAAGCATGTGTGCTTTAATTTTTGCATGACATTCATTTGGTTGAGCCCTCTTATTAAGTTTAAATGTTTTCCTAACTGTTTTTATTGACTCAGACACTCAAAGTATTATATGCCACCCACCAGGGCAGAAGAAACACAGGGGGGAAGGGCCTGTTATTCAATTCATGTTTATTTTGCACTAAATAATTGATGATTTGATTAAAAAAAAACAAAAAACATTTTTTGGTTCTTCTGTTTCATATGTAAAATATTATGGTTAATTGTATGGATTTAAATCAACTCACATAGCTGCAGACTGGTAAATCTCAAAGCATCTACAATTACTTATCTTATCTTGGAATAACCTCTTTAAATGCACACAAAAAAATGAAAACAATCCTAGTAATTTAAAATCATACACCAATAAACCCCTTAAAACTATCAATATGCTCAGATCTAGAATAAAGATAATAAAAAGAAAATGCCCTCTAGATGGTAGCAGTATGCCAAGATAGATGTAACTAAACTAGGCCATAATTTTACAGCATCAGTCAAAAAGGTATTTCAAACAATAAACAGATAAATGTATTCAAATTCTAAGCAGTGTGGTAGAGTTATTATAACTTTTAATAACTGTTGCGAAAAGATGGAGTACATAAGACAGCAAGTGGGTGAATAAAAAAACAAGAAGAAAGAAAAAGAGAAAAAACATAAACAAGAGGAGCAGCTTAAAACATTTAGTTTTGAAATAAAGATAGGAAAACACATTTTATATAACAAGGAGCTAACACTTCAAAGTCTATCTTATCTTTTTAAATGGAATTTCATTGGAACTTTTCCAAAAAAGGGTAAGTGAGTTGTGATGATGTTATACTATAATTAGATACTTTGCAAGATAACACTTACTGAAAGAAAATACATTTCAGATTTCTTTTAATAGTTTGTAATTTAGGCTTAATTGTAAACACTTCCCTGCAATGGACTGGCAATCTGTTAAGGGTGGGCCCCATCTGCTGGAGATAGGCACCAGCCCCACTGTGACCCCGATGGATGTAGCCTGAGAAAATGGATGGATGTCAACACCTTAGTTTTATGAGACTTATAATACATTTTCAAACAATCTCTTAAAACATTCCAATCTTAAGACAGGGAGCACATTGGCTATTTAGGGAAAAAAACTAAGTTTAAGTAAAAATTAAATCTGGAAGACTGTTCCCCTGAACCTCCTGCAATGTCCCTTGTCCAGCTTAAGCCAAACATCCTGTTGCTACACCTCAGAAGCCAATCGTCTTTCAAGATCCCCTTTATTTACCTCCCTGTAGCACACCAGCAAACTTTCACCCACTTCCGCCAATCTCCTTCTTCCCACTCTCAGACTATTCTCAGTCCCACTCACAATTGAGTTTATTTCACCACCAGTGTCCATACCCCATGGAAGATTACTCAATTATTTTCCTGGGTTAGTCATTTAAGCGAATGTTGATTCGCAGCAGCATGGTCTTCTACCGGGGGCCGAGCCCCAAAGAAATAATTTCATTTATATCACTACCAGCATATCTGCTTCTATCTCCCTGAACCCCAGTCGGCCTTGGCAGATGGCTGCTCACACTAAACCCAATTCTTCTGGAGGTTTCTTCCTGTTAAAAGGAAGTTGTCCTTTCCACTGTTGCTACATGCATGCTGGGTGTGAGGATTGCCGAAAGTCAATGTGTTGATGCTATCAGCTGGTTTTTCTTAGATAGAAAATTTTGACCAATCTACTATGTAACTCAATGAAAAATTTGTTGAATAAAACTTTTCTAATTGCAGCTTTTGTCTGTGTGAGTCTCCCTAGGTTGAATTATCAGCTACACCATATTTGTTTTCATTCAGTGATCTGTCTAGCAACCACAATAGTATTTAATAACATTAAGAAGACGCTGTTACCTTTAGTAAATTTTGTAAGGTAATTAATAAGATTGTACTTAATAAGAGAAAATGTTATACATTTAAATGTGATAGGTATATAAGGAATTTCTGAAATATTTAGGGGCTGTGTAATGTTGCAGGTTTTGCCCCTTTGCTTTGCAGTAAGAACAGTTCTGGATTTAAATTCCGGTCAATAATTTTTCATCACCTTTCATGTTCTCCCTCTGGATGTATTATGGTGTCCTCCTATAGGCCAAAGACAGGTAATAGATAAACTGGTTTTTGTGTGTATTTTTGATTTTTGTCTTGTGTTTGACCTGTTGATAGCTTGGTGATGTCTCCAACATAAATATGTAGAGAGTGAAATTAAGAATGGGGGTTTTTGAATATTAAGATCACAATCTGAAGTAACACCCAGTGAGGGCAGAGGTTGGTTGAGGACCCAAATGCAGAGATGAGGGAGGCAGAGAGGAGCTCTTGTAGGTTTAATGAAATGAACAGTAACAGAACAAAATCCAGAAATCAAACCGAGGGAAAAAAAAAAAAAACTGGAGAAAACACACATGGGTAGCCAAGTAACAACAAAGAACCAAAACCTTCAGAACTGCACAGGACAAGTATATATGGGAGACAGAACAAAGACTGGGGTAATCAGCTGATATGGAGCAGGTGTGGATGGAAGTGACTAGAAGGTAGATAGGGGAAAGGCGACAGGCACAAGGGAGTAACAGAGAGTATCTTAAGACTGCTTAAATATAGCACAAAATGGAAAATAAACTAAATATCAACAAAACAGTATTAATTAGATAACTCGAAACTAAAAAATCAAAGTCCAATAGATGAGAAGCATAACATCAGCATTTGATACCATTAATATTGGTATCAATGCAGTCATTTTGTCTAGGAATTCTAGGAATCTGGCCAAATTTATATGTCCTCCAAAACCCTGACAACCCAGGCATGCAGAACAGTAAGCAGAGTCATACTTTAATTCTCTTGAATTAAACTTTAATTCACTGCAGCTTCTCTACTGTTATCCACTCAATACTCCTTCCACACAGTGTATTGCTCACAACCAAAACCAAATAAATAAGAACGGAATCATAAAGGACTAGTTTTCCCACTTAGTCCTTGCCAGGGTCGTGGTGGGGCTGGTGCCATCACTGGCAGTCTATGAGCGAGAGGCGGGGTACACCCTGGACAGGTCGCTGGTCTGTCACAGGGAGTAAATCATGATAATCTAATAAAAATAATAATTGCAATTGGGGAAAAAGATTAAACTTTTAAATGTTGTTCATTTAACCTAAGATATTTCTTCAAAAAGTCTGTTTGTTAATGACTTGATTTGTGATAATCAAATTGATTTATGTTGCCTTAGAGAAACTTGGCTGCAGCAAGAGGATTATATGGGGCATAAATCGGGTAACTCCCTCTGGTTATGTAAATGTTCACTTCTTTCCGTAACTTTGTATCATCCACCAGGTCCTTACAGTAATTTTTGTCAGAGTTCATATCTGATTTAGTGTTTAATACTGACAAGCTCATCAAAATGGGTGATTTTAACATCCTTGCTGACATTGAAGATGTTTGCCTAAATGCAGCCTTTAATGCTATCTTGGACTTGATCGGCTTTGTACAAAATTTGATTAGTCCCACATATTCTCATCTTCATACTTTGGACCTTTTGATGACATATCTAAGAAATTTCCCAAGATTCTAGAACCTCCTTCTTTCATCTTCGGAAAATTACAAAAAATTAGAAATATATTATCCAGAGGGGAGGCTGAGAAACTAGTCCATGCATTTGTTACTTCAAACCCGGAGTCTTGTATTCTTTACTAACAGGAAGTAGTTAAAAGCCTTCAGCTGATCCAAAATGCTTCTGATGAAAAATTAAAAAAAAAGATCATATTTGTAATATGCTGGTGCCTGTCGGAAAACGCAAAATACGTCCTTTTGCATCCAAAAATTCAAAACATATCTCTGTGCTGTGATTGGCCCGCCAGTTCTAGGGCCTGGGGCATTGATCAAGGCTAGACCAAACTTGCAGGCAAAAATTATTTTGGCCACTGGTGGGTGGGGCTAGTTTACCAGGCTACCATTCTGTAGTATTTGCTAGTTCACCCTCAAACTTTATGCTTTCTCTGCTTTCTGTAATCGTAGTAGCTTCATCTGGTCTGTTTGGCTGTGATTCCATCCCAGACAGAAATCTCAGCTGTTCTTGCTGCCTTCAACACCTTTGTTTATAGATGTTGGAACTTGCCATGTTTTTCAGTGTAGCCCTGTTTCTTTTACAAACTGTATGAGCTCTCTTTCATCCTCTGACATGGGACGGGGTCGCCTGTACAGCTGGTTGACAGGTACCTTTTGTATCTCTGCTTCCTTCTGTAGGTTTACTTCTGTCTCCTTGAACCCCAGAGGGGTGCAGAGGAAACACTTTACCAAATCAATTTTCTCAACATAAGCTTAAAAAAGAATTCCTACAGTAGGTCATAGACATGCATATTTGTCAGGAAAGATAAAATAACTTGTTGATGCTACTGTTTATATGTCAAAGTCAAGGCCCGCAGGCCGGATCCAGCCAACAAATTGTTTACCCATGGCCCCCTGGATGATATTTCATTACCGTTAGAACTGCTGTGACTTCACGGGCTACCGTTGCATTGTGGGGAATGTAGTGTTGGTGCGGTTGTTCACCAACACTACATTCCCAGGGGAAAACATGACTGTGTTTTTCTTTTATTAAAATTATTAAAAATTTTTTTTTGCGCATGCATGTTTCGATTGTTTTGGTTTTTGCTTTTCCCCCTTTAACAATCCAAGCTGGGCTGAAGTCGGTTGTCTAAGGAGGCGGAATGCAATAACTGTGCTCCGCAAATGCTGCACGCAGGTGTCAACAGAGGCTGATTGAAGCCAAAATAAAGGGAGCCTGGATGGAGGGAGGGCCTGAGCTGATCCTGCAGGTGATAGAGACAGACACGCTGCTGAGCAAGGGGCAGATGGGATCTGCACAATACTGTGATCGAGACAGAGCACTACTTACAGGCGCGGACCTCTGCCCTGACTGTGCTGTCTGTTCACCTCCGGGTATTCTGTGCCTGGTGTTCCACACCTGCCCCTCGCTTGGCAGCGTATCCAAGCTTTGACATCCCTGCCGAAGTGACTTTGAAATCCCTGGTTTATGGTGTATTCATCTGATCTCCAAGGTGAAATTACTTGTGGTCTGTAGAGTAACTGGAAATTTTACTCAAGTAAGAGTAGTGCTACTCTCTCAAGAATATTACTTAAGTAAAACTAAAGAGTATAGTAAAGTACAACAACTACTGAAAGTAATTTTATTTTTATAAAGTTAATGATATAAATGTACCTGAGTAAATCTAACCAGTTACCGCCACCTCTGTAAAAGGTTTAATGAAAATTTAACCTGGAGAGACTCACACATAGAAAATCTGCAATTAAAAAAGTTTTATTTATACAATTCAATTTA